CACTTATCTCTGCACGGAAAACAAAAATCAAAACTCGCCGTGGATCAAACTTTAGATAAATGTCTTAGCTTCAAAATAAAAAAAGAATGAAGGTTTTATGACTAATTATCTGATACAACTTTGCTGCGCGAAAACCACATTCTAAGCAGTGACGTCATCACTTCATTAATTATAGTTCAGCGCCTTTAGCAAAACTAGTATAACACTGCAAGACGAAGTTGTACAAACCTGCTGGATATCTCATTCTGATCAGAACACTCTGCTCAACGTAGCTCCATGTCTGTTAAAACGGACAACCTTAACAATTTTAATTAAAATATGAAATTTAGAAACAGATGATTTTTAGAGCTTTCAGAAACCTTTTTCAAAAATCTCCAAAAACATTGAATTTTTAACAAACTGAGAAGAATTCTGAAAGATAACACTGTGGGATATTGAACCGTATGGTTACTTCAGTCTCGAAGAAAACATCAAATTCCTGACGGGGGGAGGGAGCCCCCTAACGCCAAAAATAAATACGTTCGTTTAGTTCTATACACAGCACAGCATGAAATTGAAAAAAATACTTGAGTAAATATAACTATTCAACGAAATCAAGGTAAGGCAAAAAAACATACTGAAAATTTGGTATTTTTATACCGTCACCGTGGAAATACAATTTGACCTATAAGAATTATTTTTAAAAGTGTGATTAACGAGTTTGGTAAACTTTATTTTGGCATTCGCGTAGATCTAAAACGGCCTCATCTCTTTTCATCTAGCAATCAGATAGATTACAATTTGTGGAAGTATATACATAGATATTATTACAGTTAAAACGTCTTTTTTTCCATTACTAAAATCTTCATCAACATTTTTTCGTAGATTTTCTGTATCAGACCAATGGATAACGACTAAAGATCTGATAGAACGGACTAATTTTTGTACCATTATTATTAGAACCTCGCATAACTTGCTTCAATAACATTCATAAAGATCTAACTATAATTGAGATCAAGTTGCTTGTTTTCTAGTCAATAAAAAATGATATGTCATTGGTCGTGGGTAATTTTCCGTCTCCGCCACTTAGTAATTTTCCGCGACCTTAAAATTTCTTTCAGCATATTTTCAACCACATCATTAGCTACCCCGTTCAATTCTCCACAAAATCAGAGATTGATCAACTTTCTACGATGTTCTGTTAGAAAATACCATAGAAAATACGACAAAGCAATTATTTTTGTGGGCGACATGAATGTTAAAACAATTAAACCATTAATATTCCAAGGATTGCGATCACTTTTAGATCTTTTTGATTTGATAAATGCTTTCTCTGTACCAACCACCACGAAAAATACGTATATTGATAACATCTTTCATTCTACCCAACCACATCCGTCTAACACTTTCACCTGTAGTGCCTTGGGTAAATCACCTCATTATATTTTATCATGCTCATTTCCGTATCTCGATCCAATACCTAATCGCACCAAAGCCATTCTCGACTTCGATCACCTTGATAAGTCTGTTCTCTATGCTAATCTATTGTCGATGAATGATCGACTATTCTGTATTAAGGATCCAGATGATGCCTTACAGTTCTGAATTGAGCAAGTCATCTCCTCGACCGAAATCTCTATTCCAGTTAAAATAGTTCCTCTTGTTCAACAACGCACCCTTCGCCTTTCGAGGCAGACGAGATTCCTTCAACGTAAAAGAGACGGTGCCTTCTGTAAATCGAAATACAAAAACCAGTCTCCTCGGCTATTTAAAATTTACAAAAATATTAGAAACTTGTCAATTCAATCTGTTCATAGAGATAAAAACAGGTTATTTCAATCAATAATGAAAACATTTTCATGTAGTAAACGTTTCTGGACACATATAAATAAATACAGGAATACAGAGTGTGATTTACCAGTCACTCTTAGACATAACACTACTCTTGCAACTGACGATCAGTCTAAAGCATAACTGTTGTCTGACTACTTTGAAACTAATTTTGCTACAACTCAAGGGCCGTCATATTTACCGCTCTCAACCTCTACTAACTGTAACTTCTCAATTGTTGTGCGATGTCAAATTCGATGTAGCTGATGTTTTCACCTCTATTTCCGGTTTAAAAAATAAAAGTTCTGTTGGGATTGACGGTATATCGATAAAATTTCTGCCGATATAATTGTTCCTCAGTTGCACCATATCTTTTCCTTATCTCTTCAAGCTGGTGTTTTCCCTTCTTTATGGAAACAATCCTTAATCAAGGCCATTCACAAAAAAGAAAGTAAACTTTTAGTCTCTAATTATAGACCAATCTCGTTGATTTCCAATGTCAGTAAAATTCTTGAAAAATTAATTCATAAACACCTGCTTTCGTTCTTGACATCTACTAACTTTTTCTCGTCTAATCAATTTGGTTTCTCTTAATTACTCACAATATTTATCAGCATCCGAATAACCGACGCAAAATTGTTGGCATTGGGTTCGATTTTGAGAAAGCGTTTGATCGCCTCATCATATTTTACTAAAGAAACTCTCATCCGCCGGCATCTCTGGTTCTCTTTTCGACTGGTTCAAATCCTATCTTACAGGAAGGACATAAAAAGTTGTAGTAGGTGAAGTCGCTTCTCTTTCTGTTTCTGTTAGTTCCAGAATTCCTCAAGGGTCAATCCTTGGCCCATTACTTACTTTATCTCATATTTATAAATGACTTAGCACAATCGTTAGCTTCTCCCCTATTAACATCCCTTTTCTCTGACGACCTATTCCTACTCTGCGATCTGGATGAGGCTCAATCTTGTATTGACGAGGTAATTTACTGATGTGACGCTAACTTCGTTGGTCTCAATATAAAAAAAATGCGAGTGGATAATCTTTTCTACTTTACCTAATACCTATCCATCTATGTCACTTACTATTAACGATATAGAAATTGAACGCTCAACAGTCATAAAATTACTTGGCATGAGACTTTTTCATGACCTGACTTGGAAACGCCACTTGGAACATATTGCATCTAATTGTACAATGATGTTTGGGATCTATTTCTCATGTGTTTAGGGATGCTCCACCTTCGTTACGTCTTTATTTGTATAAAACTTGTGTTCGCCCGGCTTTGGAGTATGGTTGTATCATTTATTACTCATCCTATTGCACTCACTTATCTGTATTAGACAAAGTACAGGATCTAGCATGTAGAATCATACTATGAGACTATGTATCCTCTTCTACTATCCTTTCAAGTCAGTTAAATTTACCACCATTATCCTCGCGGAGAAAATTTTCACGTTTAGTTTATTTCTATAAATTTTACCGGTTGCAGTGCCCTTTCTCATAGCAGTCTTACTAGTCGTCTATCCACTCGATCGAGTCACGTCGTCACGATCGTCACGATCGAGACGATCGTCAAACTGAGAGAAACTCACATAACAAACGGGTCCAGCGCAAGAACTTCACCTTAAAATCTGCTCCCGGTTGTTTTGTACCGAAAACTTTAGAGGACTGGAACAAATTACCTTGTACTGTTGTTCATCCGAATACGCTAAGAGCATTTTCAACTGTATTAAAACAACATCTTTTTACTGTCTAAATTTTTGCTATGTTGTGTCCGTGTGTGAGTTTTTATTTTATCTGGTGTTACATTCAAACAAGCTCTAGCTTTCTTGTAATTTCCTTGTGTTCTTTACAAAAATAAATTCATTCACTCATTCATTCACAGATCGAAAACTCAGCATCAAAGCAAAAATTTTCTACGAATTTATATTCGTAATATTAAAAAGCCTTTAACTCGTGGTAGAAAGTTAGTCAACCTCTGATTTCGTGGAGAATTGAACGGGCTAACTAATGATGTGGTTGAAAATATGCTGAAAGAAATTTTAAGGTCACCAGGTTGTCTAGAAACCCAGGTTTTTCAGAAATCTCTGTATCAAGATCCTGAGATGGTACCTCAATCTTCTTTGAAGATCTGGATAGAACTCGACGAGATCTTTCATTTGAGACTAGACTGAAGGTTCTACATTAGGGAATGTGGCTTCAGCATCGTTTACAAGTTAGGGGAAACCCGCTTGAAAACAGCGGAAAATGCTCATTTTCGCTGTGAGAGTAATTTGCACATAACGTTTTTCCCTAGTAAGATAGCACCTGCAGTTTTTACCATTGGATTCAGCATGCAAAACTGCTTCAGTTGATGCGTGTCTCGTTATTTGTGTCAAAAGCGGATGTAATGATGATAGGTATCGTATGGATTAAGCCTTTTACGTTTGCTCTTATAATAATCAATTACATTTTCTTATATAATTATGATTATTCAAGCTTGAGTCAACTTTTCTCGTATTAGTATGTTTTTCTAATTTTGTGGAATCATAAAAATACTATTTTTCTAGGTCAAAAATGATTTAGTGCAGAAATAAATTTCGTGTTTTGGGCGGAGGCGAAAATTTACTAAAATTTTAGTGGAATTTCTAGCGGCGGAAAATTACTAAGTGGCGTAGGCGGAAAGGCGGAGACGAAAAATTATCCACAACCTATGTTACTTCAACGTAAAATTAAGTTTATTTTCTACACACATCTGACGAAATAAAAATCATAACAAAATATATCTACATGAATTTCAAAAAAACCTTTCTTTTAGAAGAATAGTAAAATAGAATGAATATCGCTTCAGAAATGAACATCATTCTAGAGAATATAATAAAAAATACCGGGCTAAAAGAGCAGGATTAATAAAATATTTCCATATGGAATTGTAGAAAATATGCCCATCTTCTTGAGTAAAACATTCAGAAAATATACAGTAGAAAAAGTGAATAACTCTAATCAAAACAACAACAACATGCAGACATGTACAATATAAATTTCTTGATCAAAAAAAAGTACTACTGCATCTAAACAAACTGTTTCGATAACAATATTTATATACAACTGACTAGGCAGAATCTATCACTTATTTAGTCACTAAGTAAGTTTCATTTAATCAACAATAGAGAGAAATTTTGAGCCTTTTTGTTCGAATAGTTTCAATCGTTTTATCCAAAATTAAAATCCATGTCATCCACTCGATCAAGTGAATATTGTTCACGTTTTGTTTTTGACCATTTTGATATATCGTATTGATCACCGCCTACTTGTCGTCCAGATGAATAATTTGCATATTCTTCTAAAAACTCAAATTCTTCTTCATCATCATCAAGTTCACCAAGTTCCATTTGATTTGCTTCACGTAATATTTTTATTAAATCTTTATCTTTCTTATTATCAAATAACTGATTTAAATCAATCTCAACATTTTCAACAAATAAACACCAATTTCGATAGATAATTGATAGTATTTTTGTATATACTGTACTCGTATCGCCTACTGTCGACATAGGATAACCAATTTTAATTGCACGTTCAAGAACAAATTTAAAATTTGGAATTTGTGACAATATTTTCTTTAGCGATTTCTCCATTGATTTTTTTAGTGCTTCGTCTTTCTTCTGTAATGTTAACATTGGTTTTGGTAATAAATTTTGGCATATGGTCACATAACAAGCACCAATAACACGCATGAACTGTTGAAATCGATCACCTACCAAAATAGAAATAAAAAAAAGATTTTCGATTTCTGTTTTGTCTCGTATTTAGATCCATTTAATATCAATCAACTGTTAGTCAAATTCTGTGTTGCTGTCATAAATAGAAACCTCAGTTCATCTTTGCTTTTCTACTCCTAGTTTAACCCACTAATTTCTCAAAAGAAGATTATTACCATCATCAATACTTGGCATATCGTCAGCATAATCAAGTACAATATTTAATGCTTCAATTCGACGAAATGCATTAACATAATTGACATCATCTTTCCTTTGTTTTGAAGTAATTGTGTGTGTGTAAAATAATGTTGTTATATCTTTAATACAATTTTCAACAGCCTCAAGTTGACCTGAAAAGAAACAAATAGAGTTAGTAGATCAAAACGTTCCTTAATTACCTACCATAACCATTAAAATCGTTATAAATATATAAACCATAATTATCAGGACTACAATGACTGATTTGTTTGCAATATTTTGTTGACCAAAAATCAGCTGTTTTTGAAATTATAAATTCTTCATTGTTTGATCCGATTTTATAAACAATATAATCTTTTTTGTGTCCTATTAATGGTTGTGCTTTGTTTGATAACGATTGTTCATTTGATTCTTTTGCTTCATCAACAGCATTATCTTTTGATTCATTTTCTTGATCTACAGCATTATATTTTGATTCATTTTCTTCATCACTACTTCCACTAGGAATGATCTCTTTATTTTTCTTTTCTTTTACATAACCACCTTTATTTTCTTTATCATCGTCGTCGTCATCGACTGATTGTTTCTTGTTCACTGCTGTTTTTCTCATTCGTATATTTGAAGTTTTGGGTTTTATTGTCGGTGATGATGGCTTTTCAGTATTTGTTGATGATCGTGTTATTCGTTTTTCAACTACAGGCAACGAGCGTGCTACTCGTTTATTCGTTACGAGAACACTAACAGATTCTGAACTTTTTCGTTTGGACATATGATATTTTCTAAAAAAAAGTCAGTTTCAAACTAATACCCATGGAATAATTTAAAGAGGCTAATGATCGTTAGAATGCGTTAAATATGAAAATAATCAAATATTTCATATTTAACGTATTTAAACGGGTTAAATTTCCAAACTTAACGCGATCGAATGTGATTTCGAAAAACATACGATGAAAACTGTGTTCACACTCGCTTAACTTCTAAATTTAACTGAAGTAAGAGAACTGGATTAAACCGTTAAATGTTTCATATTTAAAGCGTTCTAACGATCGTTAGCCGTTTCAAATTATTTCATCGATAGTTGAGAAACGATAAAACTGATGTTAATTTTTCTTATAATTTAACGTAACTCGAAACTAACTATATTACAGAGAAATTTTACTTCTACAGAATAAGAAACTAAACATATCGAAACACAAACCTGTACAACTATATTGTTTATGGAAGATCCCAATGCTTGGAATGATCAATCATCCAAAGATTTCTATTTGCATGGTGAAAAAAAATACTTTTTCTTCAAAAACTTGTGAGAAGCATAACCACTGGGTATGAATAAACGAGATTAAATCTATTCCACGCAGTAACGAAGACGTAGAAGAGCAGCGTTACTCCAAAGTGTAATTTTAACCGGTTGAAATCTATTTATCACACAAAATACTGACCAGCGTCGTAAATCACCCTCATATGCACAACCTGGGTCTTAATCGTTCCATACGGCAAATCGAATTGTGAAGACAAACGGCACAGACTGAAACTACTCGATGTTCCTCACAGTTGAGTTACAATGTCAGTCCTCGGTTCGAAAATGAAGCGAACATCGGACTTGACCAGTGAAGTGTGACGTGTTACAAAGCGGAAGAAAATGAAAAAGACTTCCGTTTTCTTTCGTCATTTTGTAACACTCAAATATAAAATGTCATTTTTGTATACTATGTGAAAGTCAATTGTCACATTTGCTCTGTAGACATTATTGCTAAAGAAACTAGACGGCAATCACGCCAGCGAGAGTTGCAAATGCAGTGCGAAGTTAATAACATACAGCAGTCGTGCCATATTGATGAAGAAAGTGTAGATTACTTGCATAATTATGTGAGGTTCAAATAATGATTTATCAGTCTGAAACAAAGATCATCGCTGGGCAAAGTTTTTCACCCTACGCGACTTGTCAGAAAATTACTCAGAACTTTTTGGCTTTATAGCTTATTTATTATTAATTCAAACACACAGTTCCATATTCGCGTTTAAAATTTTAGTGTATCCCTTCGAGTTCCCGAGAAAATCGTTACAGAAAATGCCACTTTTTTAGAAAGGAAAAACTCAGTTTATTACTATAATGCGGTATTGCTTCGCACCGCATTAAATAAAGTACAGCAAAAAAGTAGATAGTTCGAACATGTGCTTTTAGAAAAGTAATCATTTTACTGAGTTTGCTCCTTTTTCAAACTATTTCTCTCCAGCGCTCTCATTACCTTCTTCAAATCCTTTGTTGCCTACACTTCCAGAGGGACAACGTAAATGGAAAAGAAAAACTAATCTTGTTTTAAACGATTTTACAGAAGTAAATGGTAGTTTATATCAATCTATACATACAGTAAGCCATGGTTATGCTTCTCTAGGTTGTTTGTTGCTCATATTCAATACATTCTTTTTGGGATTTTTCTTCATTTTCTCATCCTGCGAACACAAATAGTAGAGAACTAGCAAATAAGGCGATATCTCTTCTCGCATATACATGTCTTTCTTTTTGATCGACGTGTTGAGACGAAGAACCCCCCTCCCCGCACATGGGATCTGTTATGTGATGAAAGAGATATTTCCTTAATTGCTCGTTCTCTGTACTTTCGCCACTTTCACATTTCGCACACATTGAGGCCGGGGCGTCAGTTGATTTCTTATATAAATATAAACTGCAAATACAAAATTTACGGATTAACAAAATATAATGAATGGTTATGAAAACGGAAGGCGCGAGAAAACGAAAAGAAGAATTGTCTTTTCTTTTCCTTTTAGGCGTAATAGAATAAATAGCCAGATTATATATACGATAGACGAAAAAGAATAAAAACTCTTACTGTGATGAACTGTCACATGTTAGATAAAACGCAAAAGATTGACGAACAATCTCATCTTTAGATGAAACAGTAACAGATAGACAAAAGCTAAAACTTAACCAATTAGTTAGTTAGATGTAAGTCGCGGGTATCACTATATATCACACTTGATGTTTAGCTGTTAGTCCAGCATATTCTGACCTCAGCTGTCTTTTTAAACTGAACTTAAAGAAGAAGGCTAGAGTCATTAATATAATGCTGGCGCTCACCAATTGTATAATGAGAAGAGAGCGTCACCACTGATTGAGTAAACTGTAGAATACATAAAAATTTTAGAGTTAAACCATAAAGCACTTATCAGGTACCTGTCTATTCCTTATGGAAGTCACATATCAGCGACAGAAAAACAAAGTTCATACAGAGGAAAAGTGCACGGGGAAAAGTGCTTTTTCGTATTTAGCATACTCGATAACCTACCTATAACTATACTTTCATTTGCTTTTTTAATGTTCAAATAACAGTACTGGAACAATACATCATCTAATTGATCTTTTACTTATGCATGTTGAAGAGACGACAAAGGTTTATTTTCTAAAATAGCATGCAACAGAAAAAAACAGGGGATATCACTGCGAAAAAGTATATCTAGAAATATATCACATAACAAAAAAATTGAAAAACTATTGAGAAATTGTAAATCGGAAAAAACTAACGTACGTTACAAAATACATAGACACAGAAAACATATAATATCGGTTAACAAAAATTGATATGTAACAAAATAAAAGTTAACTGTAATACATAAGAACATTATATTCTTATCTGTTGCTTTCAATTAAATAAATGTGTTCATTGATAACACTCACATGTCCCACAGTTGAATAGTGTACATATTTCGCTGCTTTAAGAAGCTAGTACGAGTTTAACTTGTCTACCAATGTGCCGTGACAAATTATACGATCGATTTTGAACTTCACGAGCTCTTTCAACTGTTTCAATCAATGCTTCATAATCAGTATCATTCTAAATAAAAGATGTAATTAAAAATAGTGATTGACTGTATGTCGCTTTTCTTCTACCGCTCATGTACTTGAGCTCTCCTCCCCATACTAACCATTTACTAGTTTTCCGCAGAGCCACAAAAACTAAGCGGAGCAACTGTATTGTATCACAACGTATTAAGCATACGATTGGATGGGTGATCCGAGCCACTAAGGCATATGTAAGTTGTCCAAGGTTATTACATTACTTGTCAGTGCCGAGGTACGAATATGACACCGTTGAAGTGCACGACGAAAAACATGAACCTTCAAGTCACACTGTCAAGTATTAATAGTATGGCAACCGTTACAGGAGACTTTCTCGTTTGATGGTGGTATTAGTTTCCTAATTGGAAATTATTTGTGAACATTTCACTTTTATCTCTTATGATGTATGTGAATGGATTATTTGAAAAATAAATTTTCTATTGTATAAAATGAAAAATATTACCAGATCAGTGCCACTGGAAGACTCATAACTGTTATCATGTGATTCGTATAAAACACCCCGAACAGCTATTCGTCGACGATTACCACGACGGTGCGTTTTTCTACAACCAATAAACAAAATCATGCAAATATAAGATCTGCGCAAAAAAATTGACTGAACCAGATATATAACGGCTATCCGTTATTTTGTTGCGGTGTTCCGAAACAGAAAACTAAATTTTTTCACGCTTAGGGCTCTTTCTTACGCGAGAATTCCTGTACAAGACTTTGCTCTAAAATTACGCTGCATACACCAGAAAGAGCAGAATTTAGCTATTTTTTTAATTTTATGATATATTTGGAATTTTAGTGGGACGTTCAGGAGCATACCTACTGATGGATAGTGAGGTGGTTGCCATCCCCCCGGTTCCAGAAAAGTCATTGTTTTGTGTCTTTCGTTCTTCAAAAAAACATTTTTTTTGGAAGAACGAAAACTTTTTTTAGCAAGACCACCCCCTGTTCTGAGATGCCAGCTACGCCCCTGGGGAGATTTGTTTGTATTTTACAGAGAAGGGGTTGTTTACTTTTTCGAGTGCCGCAGTAGGAACGTTCAGTATATGTCGATGTTTTAAATATTACTCCAGAAGAAATTTTTTGTTTGACAATCCAATTTGACAGTTTTGTAGAGTGGAAAATTCGCTATCGAAGGAGCTTAGAACAAAGTCTCCAAAGTGTAGGGAACTGCTCCCCGAAAAAAAGAAATGATTCTGGCCCGTTCGTTACGGTCTATCCGTTATATATAAATTGCGGTACAAAATCAAAAATTTCTCTTGTCCCTACCGATTTTCACTTTCATATCCATCGTCAAGATCATTAATGGATCGATTATTTCTTCGAGATTGATATGTTGCTGATGGAATAGTTCTTAATAAGAAATTTCGTTTCAATAACCAATAATAGAAAATAAAACATATCTTACTGTTGTTGAAAATGGTTATGGTAAGTTGTACTTCCACACAAAACACAACGAGACAACGATTTTTGCTTCTTCACATCTGACATGTCAGCTTTTATTAATTTAGAATTGAATTGATTTTTAGCAGATATATTAGACCCATTTGCCACATAACGACTAAATAAAAACCAATTCATGTCATTTGTGTCTCTAGTCTATAAGACCCCAAAACATTTAAGGACTATTATCTTTAAATTTATGGATTGTAATGTATCCAACGAAAAACATTATTTTCAATCATGCCAGCGCAGTAAAGTTTCTTTTGTATAAGTATTAGTAAAAGTATTTCGTCTCCACTCTGTTAGTAATAAAAACTGATAATAATCGGTTACGTACTAGATTATGCCTGTGCTGGGTTCTAAATACAATGTATCATTCGCAGGTGAAGGTAGAGGATGTTGTTGTCGAATCGAGTAAGGATTTATTTGTGATGGGACGTACGAACGCAATGGTTGCCCTTTGGTAACTAGTGGTGAACGGTGAGTATTTCTTTGTGCTAAATCAGCTGAAGAATAAATATTTGTCGATGTCGGACCTGTTGTAACAAAAGTAGGCTGATTTGTTCTCGATGGAATACTAGTCGATATTCGATTATTATTTTGTGTTGTTGTCGGGATATACAATGAACTACGATAAGACGCTGATGGGAAATCACCAGATCTTCTTGATCGATTATCATTATAATAGATGTGCTGTTGCTGTCGTCGATGTTGGGATCTATCACTTGATTGATATTGAAAATCCATGTTCACGTATTTATCACTCGAGGGTGCAGTTTGTGGACGATAATAATAGGATGCTGGTGGGATTTTATTTAATGGCACGCTCTCTTCGGAATGGCTACGACGAATATGTTTCGATAAAACTTGACGATATAAATGATTTTTAGGTGATTGATGCTGATGATCAGGTGTCCAATGTAAATAGCTTAAACGATCTTTATAATAGAGTTCATTTGAATCATTTAGATTTTCAAATGAGCCTGTGACACGCGTTTCAATGTCTGAATGACTTAAATCTAAATTGACAACAGAATGATAATACTGTTCCTTCACCGTAGAAAATTATTCAGAATTGACAATCCGCATTATCTAGCATTCAAACATAAAAGCTAACTTATTCGTCGATCTCTAATCTATAAAATATATGTTTACTGTACCTGAATGTTCACGCGATTTTCTTCGATATAAGTAATTATCAACAAAATCGTTTTCATGCCTTAAGGGATCAATTGACACGGAATATTTTCTCGATCGTCTAGTAGGACTATTTTCACCATATTTCGAATGTTCACTGTTTGAAATAAAATAATAAAAAAGTAAGATTTGATTATTTCATAATGTACAAACCACAAATGGTATTTTCAACAAAAAAAAAAAAAAAGAAAGGTAAAAAATCGAATAGTAACAACTCTCTCAATCACAAACAAAAAAAAGAAAGTCGTTTGTATTTTAAAATGACTTTTTTCTTTTATTTTATTTTCATTTCATTATATTTCAAGTATTTAAAATTTGAATACTTCAAGTATAATTTGTAAAAATACATTTAAATAAATGCTCACTGCAACTTACTGACGATGGTAAGGTAAAGCAGGGCTTTCAGCCCCCTGTCCACTTGATCGTGATGATGTGACAGAATTTAACCCTAAAACGATAAGAGGCAAAATTGAACATCAAAATTAAACTAAAATGGGTTAATAGTAAATAGTCTATCGAAAGCGTAAGATTATGATAATCTTACCATCTTCTTCAGTACTATATAAGTTATAGATACCGGCCGCCGAATGGGATCGTTTTACTAAGGCCGATTTTAATTGTTTTGAATATTTTCGTCCTTTGTCCGAATGATAATATTTTGATGAATTTGAGTCTTTTGTTATATCTGTCAATGGTTGATAACTTGATTTCTTTTTTAGTACTGATGAATTTGATTTTGATAAAAAGTTTTGATCTGATTTTAATTGTTTTGTATGCGATGCTGAATGAAATAATTCATCATTGATAGATTTATTTGTTTGATGATATTCAGTACTTTCGTCTAGATTATCGGTTATACTTCTATAATAAGAAGAGCAAATAACATATCTTTCTTTTTCTCTTCTTATATTCAGTGGTAATAAATCTCACCGATCTTGCAAATATGTTTCTCTACTCAATTTTGTTGTATTGGCAAAACTTCCAATACCACTATCATGATCACTTGTACGCGTTCCACGCCATTTCGAAATTGTTGGTGATGCACTACTTTTATTCACTTCATGTTTGTTCACCTACATATATACACATATACATACAATGAATTTTTTTGTATAAATTTTGTTAAAAAATATTTGTCTTTCGTTTTAGCGTAATGAGTGAAAAGAGCTGAATATATTTACTTTGCAAGAAAGTCAAATTCAACATTTCTTTGTTATGCAGAATCAACGTGTTTTTCTTTCTTTCTTTTATTATATACATCTAATTGGGTTTTTTATTAGATTTATACATACATTTATGTAATCAAATGTATCCTACCAATATCTAGAATTATGTGCCGAATGTTATTTTATACATGCAACAAAAGTTATTAAGATCTACAGCCAATGACTTTCCCTATTCAGTCCTATCTTATCAACTTAACCTGATTTTGCAGTTAACAAAATGTCAGAATGAGTTATTTCATCAAATATAATATAATATTTTTTCTTAGAACAAATAATGCCACAAGTATTAGAATATCCAGGTCAAAGAATCTTACTGTAAGATCTTATAAGATTCTTGTACGATTCCACTCGATTTCGTAAGATTCTTATAAGAATTTGTAAGATTCTGTAAGAAACATAGAAACTGATTTTGATGTAAGATCTTATAGTAAGATTTTATCAGAGTTCGTAAGATTCTTGTATGATTTTCCATAAGATTTTACAAGATCGTGTAAGATCTTGATCTGATTTTTTGACTTGTGTAGTCGATAAACGATGTTTTCATGTATCTTCAAGATTACAAGGCATACTTATCACAAAATGTGCATTCTCAGCAAAACACACATAGTACCCTGACAAATAAGGGACTTAAAGTAACTTTTTAAAAAAGAGTGTAGTAGTTCGAACTCATTTTGTAAGAAGAAAGCATTCAAAATTTAACGACGGCTTATCTTGCTTAAAAAAGATCGATAAGTTACCATTAAATAGGCGTTTTCTTTTTAGCTATATCACATGATCTTCTCGATCAAATAACAGAAACGGAGTTCTTCATCTTATTTCTGCCAGTAGCTAGTCAAAAATATTAGCGAACATGCCGTTCTAAAATGGGCAGTAGGATTATGAAACTCTTCTTGGAATCTCACTGAATTGAAGAGCGAAAAATAATAACATAAAATATAGTGGAAAGAGCGTTTGCCGCCTCTGAACCTTTCTCCCTATGGACGGAAAGACAGAAGGATGTACTGTACTATTATATCCCTAAAATCCCTTACTTGAGTAGTTCTTAACTGTATCCAAACACCTATTGGAATTTGACTGTGTGAGAATGATGGTATCACTTAAACTGATTACAAAGGGTGGTATCTTGATAATTAACTTAGTTTAATTTTCAATAGAAACGAACACTACTTTCGTCAAATTGAACACTCTTTCCTTTTTTGTGTTATTTTTCCTGATGTTTTTTTTCTCACCCTACACCAGAAATGGTAGCGGGTCTAACTAACTAACTAACTTAACTGTATCTTGTGTTTAGATTTAGTGAACTGATATTTTTGGGTTGAAGTCAAGGGAAAACAGCTGATTTTTGGATTTTTCCGATTTTCACCGATTTTTTTGTCGATTTTGGTGATTTTCATCAAGTGAAAAGTCACCGGAAATGACTGGAAGTTGAAAATCACAGAAGGTAACTGAGAATCGCTGAAAATCAATTGATTTTGGGTCATTTTCGACTTATTTTGGGCTGATTTCCGTCTGCTGTTTCCCCCTTGGCTGAAATACTAATTTCTTGAGTAGGATTGTGTATTATTCGAGTGGTTTATGTTAAAACACTAATTTATATGTTGCAGTTTAACATTTTAGTCTCAAAAGCTCAGGCAAGAATATTATATGCTTTTTCAATAAAACGTAAACGACTTAACTATTAGACTGAACTATTGAGCACATATACTAGAAAGAGTGCTAATGATACAATTTCAATAACTCTATATCATCTCTGACTTAAAATACAATTTTAATACTAGCATCAATGATGCTTGCCAAATAGTTTTGGAATCTACTATAAATGAGGAGCCTTACGGCGGAGAAAGTTGTTGTGAATCTTATGAGACATCTGACTTTTAGCTGGGTGGAAGACATTTTGGGAACTTGTGGGGGCGAAGACAGAAAAATGGATATAAACCCATGATTAAACCCGAACTGTTATAGAACATCTTCCACAGAAATCAAAAGTCACTCAAACTTCGGAGGCGTCTCATAAGATCCACAAAACATTCCACTATAAAATTCTGTTGTAGAAGAAACTATGCCTCTTTTTTGGTAGAAAATTTATTTTATGGATCGGCATAATTTACGGGTATCTGTTTCACGACTCTAGCGGCTACCGTTGTCACTGAACCAGTCTACCGGCAAAGCCAGAAAAATCATGCTGCACAACACAATATGGTGAGTATGATATTGGATGGGTGATCTGAGGTGCATGTATCTAAATAACCTGTCAGAGCAGTAGACTGCCTGCGCCTAGGAAACTCGAACGGAGTACCTTTGAAACACGGGATGAACGACATAACCGTTATGTCGTACCAATCTGCTTCACAATAACATTCGTATAGCATGGTATATTGTGCTATTATAGACTTTAATCACATAGTACCAACCTTTTGATTGTGTTGGTTATTTGACTTCGTATTCCTTTCCTCGCGATTGTAGGATCCTCCGATCGGCGTATGTCTAACTGACTTTCTTCGAGTACGTGATGAATCATCTAAACTGTTGTGTTGTTCTTCTTCGTCTTTGTATTCTGGTTTCTTATTATCATAAAGAATGGTGTTTTGCTCATCATCCATCGGTTTTCTATGCCGTCTGTTCTTTGGCGTCTGTGTATCCATTAATTCATGTTTACTTGTACGTGGACGTGAACGTTGCTCATCGACTTGATTTATACGTTCAACACGACTTCCATTACGCTGTAAATCAATACTTTCTAATCCAAAAGATGCCGTTTCCATACGTTTTAATGTTTCAAATTGTTCGGGTGTACTACACTGTTCATCGTCAGAATTCTAAAGATATTGCTATGAACTTCAAACATATATCAATCAAAGTTATGTTTGACACATACTCCAGAAGTGTAAACGTAAGGTTTATGTGTTTGATCATTGTCTTTTTTCGTACGCGAAACGTCGGATCTTGGTGAATTGTATGAACTTTGTGACATTCTAGAAACAAAAACAACAGTCCAATATTTTGAACCGAGAGATATGCGTATATTTTTAATAACGTACGCTTTTCGTAATTTTCCTGATACATTATCTAATCCATTCAACAAACTTTTCATTTCTTCTTTACGATCAGATGCGTTAACAGCAGTTAATAATTTTTGATATTGATCCATTAGTTCATCATGATTGATCAACGATGAACGTGTTGATATTTCACTCTTTCAACGCAAAATGTATAATGCGTGATTAGAGAAACTAATTACCAAAGATTACGTACCGACTGACTCCCTATCGCAGATAAACCAATGCCACCTTCCGATCCATTACCTGTTTTTCCTAGTAAATTTTCCGTTATTCGTTTAACTATTTCCTTCAATAACTGCTTCATTGTTTCTAGTTCCGTATCTAAGTTTCTAATAATAAATAAAACAAAAATTGTGTAAAAATGTTACGCAAAAGAAACTGAAACTTTAAAAAATGAAAATTCAATTCCTTGGAAAAAGAGTTATAAAAACAATCAAAAGATACCCTTCTGATTAGGATGTATTCACGCAAATGCCGCTAACTAGTCTAATTTAAATACTATATTTGAAATAAGTAATGAGAGAAATACATACGTATCAAGATCAATATTTTGTGAATCACTCTCACTAGTTGACCGGCGTATTTCATCAGAACGTTTTGCATTATTCAATGCTTTTAACAAATTTTCATAATCTTGTTTTATACTTTCATAGAGTTGTTTTTGTTCCGTTATACTGAGCTGATTGGCGTCCATCAATGTTAAAAATGACCGCATCTATAGAAATATATACGATTAAAGATTTCCATAATATAATGGGTAATTCTCAACCTACTTTTTCACTCAAATTTTTCGTTTGAATTAATAGATCAAGTTTGATTGTTTCTGGTGTTGATAATTCTTGGACGGTTATACGTTGCGGTATAATCTCATCAAAAAATACGGAACTAACATTATCGCCTTCACCTATCGCCGAATAAGGAGAATAGCCTAAAACAAATAAAACAAGAAAATGAAATAATAAGAATACAATCTAAGTTAGTGGATCTTAGTGATCCATATGAGATAACAACTAAGTTAGAAGAATTTCTAATAAACGATCCAAGAAATTATATCCAAGAATCAAATTTTTATTACGGTACTTCACAAAATGATTACCCTACCAGTCAGTATAGGGCGCTTTTCCTGTTTTCTTCATGAGATTCGACGGTTTAAAATTTCTTTTCGTTAAATGTTATCATAACATGTTTGATTCATGAGAAAAGAGACTTGCGCATCAATATAGAATTTGACCTGGCTAGCTGGCATGGTTAGTGAGATCCAGGCGAGGGAGACTTCTGTGAAGTACTGTATCAGATATAAAGTCCTTGCCTAGTTTATAGAAAAATCATTCGTCGAACTTCGCTGATACGCTCTCACAAAAAGACTGACCACATTAATGTTCAAAAAAAGTAAAATGAGGAGAAAAACTCTTGAACATAAAAATTTCTCAGTCTATGTTTAAGCACCACTTAACTAACACGCTTTTTCTCAACTTCATTCATATTTATCAGTTATATGGAAGATTAAAATGAACTACATGCTTTTTCAGTTATTAAATCATTTTTTAATTTTATAACTTGTAACATCACACCCTAAGAACATGAAAAAAAAGTAAATTCTTGATATTTGCTTCTTTCTATACGAGATTATTACAAGATTTTGTTTTTAGTTAAGAGGTTAAATTATCGCATATTCGACCGCAAATAGTTGCTTTTACACACTTTATTTTGGTTATACAACTGTGCGTTTTTTATTGTTTGTAAGAATCAAATTTCTCTTCAATTTTAGATATAATATGCTTTGTTTCCCCGAATTTATATAGAAAAATATTTCATTTCAGTTTCTATGACAAATTTAGGATAAGACTGTATCTACTAGACGCTCAGAATACTTCTGAGTATGTATTTAGAAGACATACAATATTGAGAAAAATCATAAAGACCAGTTCGATTCTCTACAATGACATCCAGTTTTCTTCTTCCAAAGAGATGCTAGTCGATGATCATCTCGATTTGAAAAGCTGAATCAACTATGGAATTTTATTACGACAGAATCAGAGTCGAAATCAGCTTTGAAAAAATTTGAATTACTTTCCACAGAAAGTTTGTTTTCTTCTCTCTTGGGTCTTACTGATGCAGAACTGAATATCTTTATCAATACTTTCAGAGCTGACTTAAGTGGTTATATAATGCTGAGGACTTAGGGAGTGCGCTTGATAACAACAGCAATATCTTCCTACTCATAACAATAACGGTTCTTAAATTATACAGTCAGTATTCAGTTCTCATATTCAGTTACAAGGATATTCAATTCCGAATCAGTAAGACGCAAGAGAGAAGAAAACAAACTTTTTGTAGAAAGTGATTCAGTTTTTTTCAAAGCTGATTTCGACTCTGATTCAGCCCTAATAAAATTTTGTAGCTAAGTCAGCTTTTCAAATCGAGATAATCATCGACTATTGGAGATTAAGTGAGATGTAGCCAGGTATGATCTATCCGAATATGCTATATATATTTTAACTTATAGTTTGTTCAAATATACACTCTAAAAAAGAAGACTTCTTCAGAAAACTGAAACTGTGTTTTTCATTTGTCCCAAATAGTGGTCTACTAATACTATCAACTGGAAACCTGCACAAGTAGAGAAAATTATATAATCCATATCCTAACTTAAATGAGATCTTCAGTTCGTTCTTGGAAAACACGAAGAACACGTTTTTTTCAGAGTGTACTCTATAGGTACGTATAGGTGTACTTTATGAGTGTACGCAGCATAGGTACCAGATTTTTTTCCGTTCAGCGTTTTTTGTTTCACGTTCAGACATATATAAAAGAAAAACGTATGTTTGCAAGAATGACGTGCGTTTTTATCTGTACCGATCACTGGTCGTTTAAATACTTGCTCAGTAATATTTTACTTGCCAGCATCTATGACATTCTTGTAGCAGGATACCTAGCTTGAATAGTTCAAGTACATCCACTAGGAAGTTCAATACAACTACCAATTAAAAATCGTTCTTATCAGCAGAACAAATACGAGAAAGTTTTTGTTGTCAAACAAACACTATACAAGTCTTATAAGTTTGTACATAAAATAATTGGTCTATTTTTTTAGAAAAGCTTTTCTGAACAGAATATAAGCTAAAATATATACACTGCAAAGTCCGGAATTATTTATAGAAAATGCTCGGCGATTTTCAAACCGTTCATATATGAAATACTCACGGATTTTCCAGATTATAGACAATTGAATTTCCAATAATGTGGAAAATCGACATCGATTTTCTACATTGTTGGAAATTATTTAGAAAAAATCGCTGTCGATTTTTCAACTTTTTAGAAATTCCTTATCGATTTTCTGGCAAATGAGAAAAGTTAATTCATCAAAAGTAGAAATCAACATTTTCTAAACAGCCAGAATATCCCTGAGGATTTTATAAAAGTTGGAAAATCCTTGACAATTTTTCAGATCGATTTTCTGTAAAATAGAAAATAATTTCAAATTACGGTATAGTATATTCGTACAGAGACTATCGCACTGTTCTTATAATGTATATCATAAATATATACCACACGACCATTGCGCAATTTGAATCACGTACTGTCTCAAAATCCATGTTTAATGAATTCAATTAATTTCAATAAAATCTACGTCTCAAATATATGTCAGCGTCCAAACTGAGATTGGACTAGGCCAATCCAGAATTGGACGGGAAAGTGAGTAGTCCAATCTCAGATTGACCTAGTCCAATCTCAGTTTGGCCTGAATCGGAGTATGGACGCCCACATATATATTACAATTTTATTTGTATTAGATCAAAATGTTTTTAACTAAGGGAACGTTTCAAAATGTATTCCGGTCGGGCGGTCGCTATTCCTCTATTCCGCTGTTCCCCTATTCCTCAATTCCTCTCTTATTCCTCTGTCATTCCTCTATTCCCCAATTATTCCTCTATTATAGAATTTAAATTCTAATTTATTTTATTTTATTTTATTTTGTACAATTCGGTTTCTTTGATTGTATTTTTGATACATACATCGGCATATATATACTTCCAATGTGTTCGTTTTTTTAACAGATATCTTTATAAGAGCAGATATTTTTCTGTTTAAAGAATAAAATCAGAAAGTAACAAATTTTATATTTTCATCA